ATATATATATATATATATAGGGTCAGGATCATTTTACACCAGTGTAAGTTACACTCTCAATCTTGTACGTTGATCCCATTTATATCTAAGGGCTCTAAATTTTTAATAATATGAGCCATTGGATACAAGTTGATCAATGATCAAGATTGAGTGTAAGACTTCTAACTCTTACACCAGTATAAGAATATCCTGCCTCATATATATATATATATATATTATGTATAAAAACTTGAGTATAGGTCTATAGCATTAGTATTTCATTTTTATTGTTACTTTTGTTTATTTGAATGTGGAAAATTGAATTTGGTCGTGAACGACTTGTAGCTAATTAACCGATTTAGTATATCATTGATGGAGTTTTATTGTTTTGATGTTCATGTAAATATTTGGACACATGGCAACCGGAGGTAAAATGCATAAACACAATTTACGCAACATAAAAAAAAAAAAAAAATACAGCCACATTGCAGTGTATTATACTAACAAATTAAACTTGCCAATTGAAGTTCTAATTAATTTTAGAATGGAGTACTTAAATATAATTAATATGTGATGTTTATTTGAATTATCATGATTGATGTAAATGTATTAACTCTGTTATTTGAAATAATTGTTTTGATTAATTAGATTTTTGGTTTTTTTGGGATAAAATTTGAATTCCGATTTAAAAAGTCTAGATCTATTTATGATATTTCATTTATTTTGATTGGTTATGAAAAGGAATTCATCAAGTCTAATTAGCATCCAATTGATATTTGAATTATCATAATTGATTTAAATGGATAAATTGTGAAATTCAAAATAACTATTTTAATCAATAAAACTCTTGGATTTACGAATAAGTAATCAGAAAAATAAATAATGTTGTTCAATCCCATTTGCGTGATTAAAAGTTAAATCCCATTTTCATCGACTTGATTTTTAAGTTGATATATACTTAAATTTCAATAATGGTAGAAATTAAAAAAGAAAATACATATAAACTCTTATTGCGGTATCATTTATAGCATTTCATTCTTTATGTTTGACATACGCATTTGTTAATTAATATTTATGGCAACAAAAACAAAAATGAGCTCGCAAATTGCAGATAACATATTTAGCGGGCATGTAATTAAATGGATCCAAATCATGTAGTTTGGGCCAAACCTGAACTTCGGAGTTAAGAAGATGAAGACGACCAGCTGTCCAGCCATAACACAGACCATAAAGTTATGACTTGCAATGCAAGTATGACACACATCTAGACCAGTGTAATTGGCCTAATAGTAATCCTCAAAAAATTAAAACTCCAGAAAACAAAAAGGAATGATATAATTATTGATTATATAGACATAGGGCATGATGCTTTAATGTAGTGTCAAATTTTAAAATTTGACATCAAATCCTGACAGTTTTTTTTTCTTAATCGACTGTTATAATTTTCGCTAATCAAATTCATTAATTAATTATTAATTCTCAATAAATAATAATTATTGATTGACGGATATTAACGGTTAGGATTTGATGACAAATTTTAAAATTTAACACCGGTGTCAAAGAATCATATCTCTATAGACATAAACATGTTAGAGAATAATATAAATAATTAAAAAAATCATCACCCAACAGATTAAGCTTTTGGATTAAATTCATTGGTATCAGAGCTTCAGTGATCACAAGGTCATAAGTTCAATTCTCATCGCCCTCACTTTCTTATAGAATTAAATAAGCACAAGGTAAACCAAAAATTGGGCTTATATAATATACACGCTTCAAATCCAAAAAACTATTATATGAGGAAGTGTGTTATAGAATAATATAAATTATTAAAAAGACTTGCATCTACTAACTTAAGTTTTCGAGCTGAATTGATTATTTAAAAACCGAGAAAGACTAAATAATTTAATCGAAGAAAACACTAAGAAACGAGTAAACCAGGGACTAAGAAGTAAGAAACCCTAAACAACACAACAATAATTATTTTAAAAATTAATATTAAATTCATTGAGTCAAATAGTAATTAAAATCAGTAATGACTATAATTAATTTAATATGGTTTTTTAAAATTTATACAATTAAATTTAAAAATGTCAAATATTAATAATTATAATTTAAAAACTGGTTTTTATTTTTCTTTCCCCTTCTTTTGAATATGGTTTACCTACCCATAACGTGGATTACACTAACATATAATTAGTATTTGAGTCTACCGTACTCTTTAAATTAGTTTCAATTTAAACAAAACTCCTTTTTTATAATGTACAGAACGTAGTACTGGTTTTTTGTTTTTTGTTTTTTACCGTTCAATTATATTTTCTCTCCCATTATTCCCTCATCATATAAATATTAAATAGCATCATAAATAATAATTAATATAAAATAATTAGGATCATAAATGACTGTTATTATTTTGTTAATTAGCATTAAATTCATCGCATCATTTATTATTTCGAATTATTACAAATTCGAATAGTCAAATTTACTGTAGATAGTAATAATTTGATAAATTTATAAAATAATAATTGAATTATTTATAATTTTATATATTAAATATTAATTATTGTTTATAATGTTAATATTTATATCAATGAGGGACGAGGAGCAGGAGAGAGAGGACTTTGTGCGAAATTATCACTGATATGACAGTGTCAACAGTTGAAAATAAGTGAGAGAGAGAGAGAGCGAGAGGGTCTAGCGATATAGCACGCTACATCACAACGTGCTTACCCACATGGCTCTGTCTCAAAATAATTCAACTAAAACGTGTGGGTGTAAATTAATTTGATAAATCTGAAAAGGAGACTTTTCTAAAATCTAAAAACTATAGCAAGTTGAGAGGGGGTTTATATTGGGGGATCATCATAATTTTTTCTATTTTAATAAAATAAAATAAAAAGTATCTATCTGCATTGTTTTTAGTTTTTCGTTTTGAAATCTATGTTTTAGCTGCAAATAATCCACCAGTAGCATGTGGGACAATCTCAGCTAAACGGTACAAAAGTCCTTGCTCATCCAACACATTGACATTAAACACAACAAACCTGTCAAAAAAGTTATTACAATTTATGTCCCATTGTAGCGGCTCACACTGAGGAGATAAACGGGTGCAATTCCAACAAAAGTGGTTCATCTTAATTTTATTTTTCTTCCCCTCTTTTAGGTTCCTTTTCATATTAAAATAATTGTTTTTATTATATTATCCAACATAAAGAGTTTTTTTTTTTACTTCAATTTGTGCAACATTTTATTTAGTCTACATATTGATTCATGTAAAGAATCTTGGGATGCACCACCCCAAAAGCTAGCTCAAAGGGTGAGAGTGCCCAAGGCCTTATAAAGGTCATATTAGTTGTCCATCCAATCAATGTGGGACTATATATCTCAACACGCCCCCTCACGCAAGAGCCCTTTAGGCTAGAAGCATGGAATTGCACAGGCCCAATTTTTGGTTTACCTTTTTTGTACTTTTTATTTTTAATTCCACTTTAAAGTGGGGGACGGTGAGGCTCTGATACCATATAAAGAACCTTGAGGTCACCACCCCAAAAGCTAGCTCAAAGGGTGGGAGTGTCCAATGCCTTATAAAGGCCATATTAGTTGCTCATCCAATCAATGTGGGACTATATATCTCAACACGCCCCCTCACGCAAGAGCCCTTTAGGCTAGAAGCGTGGAAATTGCACAGGCCCATTTTTGGTTTACCTTTTGTGCTTTTTATTTTATTTTTAATTCCACTTTAAAGCGGGAGACGGTGAGGCTCTGATACAATATAAAGAACCTTGAGGTTAATTCATTAACTATTTTCACATAATTATTTAACGAAACCACTTAACAACTATTATATTAATGTCATAATATCAAGTGCTGAAACAATAAAAGAAATTAGGATGGAGGATCGGCCCTAAACTCAAATAAAATTTCTTTGTAAGTATTATTTCTATTTTTTCTGTTATACATATTATTATAGTTGCAGTAACAAAACTCATACCGATAACCGATATTTAATTGCATGTAAGAACCATCTCTATTTTTTTTTCATAAAAATAGTTATATTTTATAAGAAAAAATATATATTTTAGTTTTATTTCCTTTACAAAAGGTTTTGGCTTTGACATTCATATTGTATTTAACTATAATGTTAAAATATAAACCTTTCATATATCACAATTAAGTTCAGCTTTAATAAAAATATAAAGTATTTTTTATATAATTTTTAAAACTTCTAAGTAATGAGTTAGACGTGCCAACACGATGATTTGACCCATTTTGCCGCTATAGCTGAGAATTTTTAGCTCAACCCAATTGACCGGGGCTAAACTGCTTATTCAGTGACCGAATTTTCAAATTCTCTAATCGAGTCAACATATGTGTTATACACTTATCCGTATACAAGCATGCTATTAAGCCATGAAAAATCAAAATTAATATAATTTATAAGCATCTCCTCTCAAAAAGCTTATCGAGATTACCTAATTGAAGATAGGGAATATTGTTTCTTAAATTATAAAAAATATTCACCTTCATGTAACACACAAAAAAAATAAATCACTTTTTTCTTTTTCTTTTTAATGAATTTCATTTATTTTTTTATATGTTGTCTCATTCAATATGAAAAATAATATTCACTCGACCATATTAAAAATGAGGAGAGTTATATTTATAAATTTTTTGTTTATAAACTCTTACAAATTATATTATGTAAAATTCCCGTTAAAAATATGAAAGTAAAAGTTCATGTAGTAGTAGTACTTGGGTTTGCAGACTGCAACGTGCGAACTTCGCATGCGTGACAGTTTCTATTGAAAAATCTTAGCTTGTATCCACTACTACGATTTTGATATATACTATTTGTCTTCTTCATCAACTACTTTTTTTAAGCTGATATAAAAGTCGAAATTAAAAAATAAAATATATATCAGCACATACATTACATATATACTTGTTTTCAACAAACGTTACAACGTGCCGTGAAATTGGCCGATTCCTATCAGTATTCTGAATTCTTACCAAGCCTTAAAAAAACAAAATTCCAAAAAAGAAAAAAGAAGAAGAAAAAACCCATATAATTATGTATTATATTAAACAAGCAATACAGAGATAGAAAAGAGCTACATGATTGACTGCAGGAGACAGGCCCACAAAACCATTAAACCCACATGGCAAACAGATAATGAGTGAGCCAGCTGAGCATATGGCTACGACGTCATTATGACATTATTGACTTGTCTCACAGAACGTTGCTCTCCCATTGGGTTTGAGGGAATCTCAGTAAGGCCTTTCTCCAAAGTAGTTACCAGGAGGATGGTAATTGCAAGTCATAAATGTACCCTTATCACCGGAACATGTAACGCTAGCGCAGCCAACTTTTCTAGTGGTGTTCCACACAATTTGAGTATAATGTCCACACATTTGTCCTTCAGAACAAGAATTAAAGTGGTAATTGTACCATTGGCGCTCTTCGACCCAAGCACTGACAGCTTGTGCTGGGGCCCACCCAGTACCGCTACCCCAGAATATGTTCTCACCGTATTGCCCGTTAGAATGCTCAAGGGCACAGTCGTTGCTCCTCTGGTTTGCATACCACTGTGCGTAGCGTGTCAGTTTTGCGCTCCACACCAACGGCTGCAATCTCAGCTCGAACCTTGCAGCATTTTGGGGAATCAGGAACTGGCTTGCAAAGCTTCTTTGTCGCTTTTGGTATGGGAAGGTGGCATTGGTTGTTGTGATTAGCAACAGAAACAGGGTCATAGTGATGGTGATGAAACACCTCATGCTCACAGTACTGGAATGTCTCATTTTGAAGAGTGGGGAAATGCTTTACTAATTGGCTTGAAGAGTTGTAGATGTAATGGACTTATATATAATAAGGGAAATGCTGCAGCAACATATTTAACTGTTTGGTCCTAGTGGCATCCATGTTCGGTAATGATTAATTGATTGCCATTTGCCACTTTCTATTAAAAGAAATATACTTAATTAAAACCATTGTCAGTTTTATTTTTCTAAATTTTCATTGGCCCGCTATTCTTTCCCGCCCAAAGAGGCCGAATTCCATTTTTTTTAGCACGTTAGCTACTTTTTCTGTTATATATGATTGGAAGATGTGTAAGAATTTCAACATTTTAATCGGAGTCGTTGAGATAATTTTATATTTCAAATTATATTCTATTTTATACTATTATAAAAATATGTTGAGAATGGTGTTTTATTTTATTTTAAAATTAAGAGATTTAATATTTCTAATATAAAATTGGCTGAACACTTAAATTCAGGATTTTGTACGAACACCTTATGAAATATAATAAATTAACTTTATATCATATATAAAGATAATAAATCATGCCATTGTTAATTTACGCAGGAGGAGCTCAAAATTGAGGAGTCCAATAATGATAGGTTAAGTAAGGAATTTAATAAACAAATAAATAAATTTGATGTCACATTTTGATTAAAAAATTTCAAATATTAAATTTATGGATCATTTTTTTATTTTTTTTTGGTAAATAATTTATGGATCATTTTACTTATACATTCTTTAGTTTATTTTTATTTTATGTGAGATTTAATTACTTATCACTCACACTTGCAAATTGCAATTTCAATAATCTAGATGAACAAATGGTCTAGCAGTGTTCCATTATCTCCAAATATTATTATGATTTAATTAAACTTAAATATAAAAATAATATAAATACTCTTAATTTTTTTAAGCACTTATCAATTATGTATTGTAATTTAAATGAGAAAAAAATATATCCTGTAATCATATTTTGTTTATAAAACTCTTATTTAAATATATTTTCATTTTATTTATTTTAACTAAAATAATATATGCAATTTAAACTTTAAAATATAACATAAAGATTATCTAAGACTCATTTTATTATCACATATTTATTGATTAGTTGATTATATTTAGTAATTTTAAAAAAGAGATGCTTGTATTCATGCAAGACTATGTCTTATACCATAATTATAATCACGAACAGACATAATTCGTATCAATAATATGACTCGCGATGTGCACTGTGCAGTGTGGTGTGTGACCATTAATTTACATCATATGTATTTTAGAAGGCACCACTCCAAATATCATATTTTGAGAATTACTAATTAATAAACATTTAATTACCGAAATAATTAAATATTTAACAACTGATAATTAGTAATATCATTATTCAAAGAGAGAGAAGGAATTTCGTAAAGTAGAGAATTGTCTTGGATGCTTATGCTTGTGCACATTTTACGCCTTGATCCTTGGAGTCTCAATTCCCGCCTGAGTTATCGGAGAAAGAAAGAAGAAAACAGATTACGTCCCCTAATCATTGTAACTTACGAATTAATCAATTCCCGCGATGGAGGGAAAACCGGAGAATCATGGAGGTACAATAAAAGAGGGTCAGACAGACTAATCCCAAAAGTTTCTATTCTGTCTGGACTTTGCAGATTGTCGTGGGAGAAAAAAATTAATTTAATATATTTTAATTAAATAATTACGTATTTATTGCAGTTTCGAGAATAATTACGAATTTATTGCATACGGTAGGGGAAGACGCCCCAATGAGGCGTCTTTCATATGGTGTTGACACGTGTCATACTTTTTCCAAAAAAATAATAATTTAATCATAAAACTTCTGAAAGCCATAACTTTTGACTCGGGTATCCAAATCAGGTAATTCTTTTTTTGATTCCACATAACTTTTTGAGATCTACGCAATGACATCTCATTTGACATATTTTATTTATCACAAACACAATTTTATTTCTCATTTGACTAGAATCTGAATAGAATCATATCGGCATTTGAATTATAGAATGACATTACTATTTGCATTTATGTTTAGATTTGAATCATCAGGTTATTATTTACATTTAAGTTTAGATTTGAATCATAACGTTGGTATTTGTATTTTGTAATTTTGTATAGCTGCCTTATTCATTTCTATACAACTATTCATTTGTATTCATGGTGTTTTTGTATAGCTGTCTTAAATTAGAATTAAAAATGCACCATGATTTCCGTCACAAGACGGCGTCATTTCAGTGAACATTAGACAAAGTTGTCTAAAGTAACTTTAGAAAAAAACGAACCATTTGTTTATTTTCTTAATTTTTTTGTCATTTATGCAATTCGAATCACAATTTGAATTATAGAATGACTAAGATCTAACTAGAATCATATCTACATTTGAATTATAGGATGACTAGAATCTGACTAGGATCATATCGGCATTTGAATTATAAGATGATGTTACTATTTGCATTTAAGTTTAGATTTGAATCATGACGTTATTATTTAAGATGATGTTGCAAATGAAAAGACTACTATGAAAATACTACAAACACTATATATGGGAGGCAATTTTAAATTATGTTTGTGAGAAATAAAATATATCAAATGAGATGTCATTGCGTAGATCTCGAAAAATTATGTGGAATCAAAAAAAGAATTACCTGATTTGGATACCTGAATCAAAAGTTATGGTCTTCAGAAGTTTTATGATTAAATTATTTTATTTTTTGAAAAAAATATGACACGTGTCAACACCATTGGGGCGTCTTCCCCTTAGGGTGAGACACCTCACTGGGGCGTCACAATGTACAATAAATTCGTAATTATTCCCGAAACTGCAATAAATGCGTAATTATTTAATTAAAATGCAATAATTAAATTTTTTTTCCTTGTTGTGGGCCTAAAAATGAACTCTTTCTTCGAGTCCTTTAGTTTGGTGAAAAGAGTAGTTGAATAACAAAAACGCAACAAAATACCGTATTTCTACTTGGCATAAATTTTCAGTATACAAACCAGTGTATTCAAACTTTAAGTTAATGGGTTACCGATTAAACCAATAGTAATACTGATTCAACTACTTGAAATATATATAATAAAATATAGCAATATAAAATGGGGCAGGATATATTTATCACAAAAAAAGTTTACCATATTTACAACCAACTTAATTACCGTTGATTTTCGTCAATCTAACGGTTATAATTTATTAGATTTATTGGGAATTAATAATTAATTAATAAATGCGACCAAATAATTTTCAATAAATTATAACCGTTAGATTGACGGAAACTAACGGTGATTAAGTTAGTTGTAAAGATGGTAAACTTTTTTGGTGGTAAGTATATCCTTTTCCATATAAAATTAGAAATAATATGGCCAACAAATAAAGTAGGTTTAATGGTAAGTGTTTTAAGTTACAATCCATATAGTTAAGGTTCAAATCCTAGGATTTTTTATTCTTTTACCCTTCATTAATTAAAAAATAATCATTTTGGCCCTAACCTAAAATATTCTACCAATCTGCCAATGTTTAATCAATTACAACACTGATTAAACCACAGTTGTTTAATCGATTAAATAACGCCATAAACGTTTTTAAAAAATCCTCATTTGGCAGAGGGGGTTATAATCGATACCCTAATCGATTATAACCAAACATTTAAGCTCCTAATTCGTGATTTTGTCCAAAAAATTTCTCCAATCGTGCGATGGGTTCACAAAGCAACAACAATCGCTCATTCCTCTCACTTATTGTTATTATTCATCGATTTTTTTGTAAAAATTCTCCCCTTTTTGTGATTTATGATCCCTAGTTTGATTCGCTATTGTTTGGTTCGATTGACTTGTGTGTTTTACTTTGATTCTTAGGTTTAATGGTTTTTAGTTTAGGTTTAGTGCTATGTACATAGTTTAGGGTTTAGGTTTCATAGCTTTTGTTTTTTTGGTCGAATTTGATTTCTAATTTTTGTATTTTTTTTTACTATACTTGTTGATAAATTATCATGAGTTATTGTAGGTTTCCGTTGTTATCAACTTATCATGGCTGGCTGTAGATGATTTTCAAGGAACACCGATGGCGAAAGAAGGACCAAGCAACGCCAGGGCCGCCTTTCTTCTTTAGGGCCACAGGAGCCTAAGACTAAGTTTGTGGACCTCCCATTTGGGTATTTGCTTAATGATGATCCCTCGCAGCATGCGCGATTTATGGTTGATCTTGCTAGCAGATCCATTTGTCAGCCAAAGTCATTGGATTTAGCATTCTTTATATCGGAGGGATTTGACATAGTGACATTGTTGGAGGTGTCACATATGAGAGTGCTGGCTGAGATATTGTGCCCATATTCAGAGGTTATGGTGTGTGCCTAATACTATAATCTCAGCTATATACAGGGTGAGCTGAGGTCTCGCATTTATGGAAAGGATATACTAATGACCGCTCCGATATGGACAAAGTTATTAGGGTACGACTTTGATGCTTAGCCTATAATGGAGTATGATGCGGATAATAATGCCCCAATTCCTGGATTTATGCGGGATGATTTTGTGGAAGAGGTCAAGAGGCGTGATTTCAGGCGTGGGCATAATGCTATTTATACTGTGGGGTTGCTTAGTGTTGATGCCTATATCTTGCACTATGTCATCACCCACATATTGTTCCCTCGAGCTTTCAATCATTCGAGGGTGCTGGAGGGTGACATTCTATCATGTGGGCTATCCGTCACGACATACAGGTGAATTGAAGCACTATGTTTGTTGGATGATGTTTAAAGCCAAGTATAGGGGTGCACTTCCATTTTCCTTTCTGGTTCAGAGGATATTAAAGCATTTTGGTGTTCCCATGGAGACTGGACGGTTGAAGACGCTCTTAGGCTATAATTCCAAGTTTGGTCAACGTCTATTGGAGCAGTGCAAGATCTTCAAGACTAGGGCATGTGTGTGGCAGTTTTCAAGATAGGTTGAGGCTGAGGTCCCTGAGGTTGCCCCAGATGCACATATGGTTGAGGCTGAGACGGATGACGACGATGAGGATGATCATGCTAAATTGGAGGAGATAGTTGAGCCTGAGGGTAGATTCACCTTTCATGATGTCATGAAAGGCATCAATGCCACACTTGGGAGTATAGCAAAGATGGAGGTTAAACAAAAAAAGAGGTGGACAAGTCATATAAATAAGGGGAATGAAAGGTTTATGCACATTCATGATCGCTTCAAGGGCTTGGAGGATAGGTTTGGTCGTCTGGAGCTTGCACGAAGACGAGAGGCTGAGGAGGCAGCAGGTGATCACGAGCAGGGGGTTGATGTCTCAGATGAGAGAGATGAATAGATTTAGGGTTTTTTTTTTATGTTTGTAGTGTTGTTCTAAGATGTTCATGTATTTTTCGTTTATTTTATGGATTTTCTTTTTGTGCCGAACTTTTGATGTAATGAAATGGATGTCTATTTTCGTTTATGTTGTTGAAGTTTTAACATATTAGTTTAGGTAAAAGAAGAACCACAAATGAGGTTTTCTAGTCCTAAAAGACCATCTTTTATCCTAAAACATCAAGAAGACGCACAAATGAGTGCAACTAGTCCTAATATACCAATACATATGAAATGAATCAAGTTTAGGTACTTAAAGAAGCTAAATAATATTTTGGTACGTCAAAACCAACTTTAAACTCACTTTTGGTACATTAAGGGAATCAGAAATGCACGTAGGTTTTGTGAGATCACAAAGCCCTTCCCCAAGTCAAAAAACCCTAAGATCATAAGTGTAGAAACACATTGGACAAAAAAAAAACTATTGAAAACAGATCCATATGGTTAAAATCACTGGTTTAATCGATTAACTCATACTAGTGTAATCGATTAAACAATGTAATCAATTAGACCAGTATGGGTTAATCGATCACACTGGTGGTTTTAGCCATATGGTTCAATTTCCACGAGATTGTTGGGTTTCACACTTGAGGGGGAGATTGTTGGAAGTATTCAAGTGTGATGAGTGCCACATTGGTTGGTAACGAGCTAAGTAAAGAGTATATAAGTGGATTCTTCAGTGTGCAGCTACAAAAAAAGAGTATATAAGTGGAAGGATCCATGAACCCAATGCCTTAAGGTTTTGGGTTGAGATGTGGTGTCGGACCCACTTGGTGTAGTTGATCCACTTAGTCCATTGGTGGTGGTCCCCCGCCACGAGCTTTCTATGGACCTGCGTGACACTTAAAACACAATTTTTTTAAACTTTTATGTTAAGTATGAAAATGATATAAGATTTTTAAAGTGCAAAAATTATCTTTCAATATTTGCCATGGAAACTGTTGAGATATATAGTCCCACATTGATTGGATGAGCAACTAATATGGCCTTTTTAAGGCCTTGGGCACTCTTACCCCTTGAGCTAGCTTTTGGGGTGGTATATCCCAAGGTTCTTTACATGGTATCAGAGCTTGAGATTCGATCCTCACCGTCCCCCGCTTTAAAAAGTGGAATTAAAAATAAATAAAAAAAGCACAAAAAGGTAAACCAGAAATGAGCCTGTGCAATTTTCCCGCTTCTAGCCTAAAGGGTTCTTGCGTGAGGGGGCGTGTTGAGATATATAGTCTCACATTGATTGAATGAGCAACTAATATGGCCTTTATAAGGCCTTGAGTACTCCCACCCCTTGAGCTAACTTTTGGGGTGGTGTATCCCAAGGTTCTTTACAGAAGCCACGACCTATTGCTATAATTCTGAAGGCGCAAGGCTTGCCTGATTGGCTGCACAATCAAGGGACTGAAGTACATAGTAGTTTATTTTAATTTTGAAGTTTGAAGAGTGATGATACTCGCACCACATGATTTAATTGCACTAGTCAGAGGCCTCAGAGGCTAAAGGAATTCTGGGAAAGGACAAGAACAAAAGGAAAGGTTATTTTATGGGCTACCCATTTGGAAATCCTTGAACTTCCGCTAAGTGTATATGGTATAGGTAAAATTAAATATCTCATATTTACTTGGAAATTTAAGATTTAAATAGATCCTTACAGCATCAGAAGAAAAAGGGAGAATGACTAAATTTCAAGGTCCCTTTTACTATTTTTGTTGGTAATTGTGGCTATACTTAGGGTGTTTTTGTTAAATGCAAGTTATGCATACACCAACAAAGAAAACAAAAACGAAAACCGAGCCTCCTAGCTCGTTGTTAACAGGTAGTCTCTGCAGAAGAAGATTATGGTTATTATTTTGGAGATTAGTGGATGTTTTGTTTTTCACATAGCTGTGCCTGTGAGCAGTTAGTTAGGTTGAAAAAGAGCCCCCTTTGCACCTTTGACTCAGCACGCACATTGATCGAATATTCAACACGCTCTTTGCACCCGTACATAACAGCCTTCAAGGTTGTTAACATTCTCCAACTAAATGCATGCAAATTTCGCTGTGTTTTCCTGTCTTCTTGATCACTTCCTCATTGAAACTTCATGGCCTATATAAATAGGTAACCATAAAAACTCTCAAAAGGGTAAACATAGGAGAGGACAATCAATCTACACAACATGAAAGTTTTCCCTGTTTGTGATGACAAACATGTGGCTGTTATGGCGTGGCCATTTGGGACTCATGCAGGTCCACTTCTTAACCTTATTCAAAGGATTGCAGCTGAGGCTCCCGAAGTCACATTCTCATTCTTCAGCACAAGCAAATCCAATGCCTCCATATTCTCGTGGCTGAATGATCAAGAGCGTAGAAATATAAAGCCTTATAACGTGTATGATGGGTTACCAGAGGGTTATGTTCCTTCGGGGTACCCACTTGAACCCAGTAATCTGTTCATCAAGGCCATGCCAGGGAACTTTAGGTGTGCCATTGATGAGGCAGTGGCAGAGACAGGGAAGAAGATTACTTGCTTGGTTTCTGATGCGTTTTATTGGTTTGGTGCGGATATGGCAGAGGAAATGCATTGCAAGTGGGTTCCTCTATGGACTGCAGGGCCTCACTCTGCCCTTGCCCATGTTTTCACCAATCTTATCAGGGAAAAGATAGGCATCAATCAAGGTAAGAACATTTTCTATATATTATATTTCTCCTTTCTCTGTTTTTATATCTTGAGTCCCAAAGTACATAAGCTTATATTTATAAGCAATTAAATATACATGTTAGGGAAAGTGCTTATATAGGTCCTGAATCCTTATAGTAAGCAAATTTGAATTTTATAATATACAAACACATGTACACGAACAACATTTCTTCAATTTCAGTGTGTTGGTATATAGTATTGGATAATTTAGGTAGTTAATCTGAATAATAAGAATTTGAATTTTATTTTATTTTTTCTTGTTTTGCAGCAAGTGATGACAAAAATCTCGATTTCATTCCTGGTCTTTCTGCGGTGAAAGCTTCTGAGTTGCCTGAAGGGGTAGTGGGTGAAATAGAGCAACCATTTTCAACTATGATACACAAAATGGGACTAATGTTGCCACGGGCAAGCGCGGTTGCCATAAACTCATTTGCTGACGTAGACCCTTATATTGTAAATGAGCTCGAATCCAATGTCACGTTGCTATTAAATGTTGGTCCTATCACATTGACAACCCCACAACCTAATATTCCGGATGAGCAAGGTTGTCTAGAATGGTTGAACAAGCATAAGAAAGCCTCAGTAGTGTATATAGCCTTTGGAAGTTCGGTAATGCTTCCACCCCATGAGATAATTGCGGTAGCAGAGGCCTTAGAGAAAGGTAGGTATCCATTTATTTGGTCATACAGGGGAAATCCTGAGAAACAATTGCCAAAGGGATTCGTGGAAAGGACTAGAACACGAGGGAAGGTTGTTGCATGGGCTCCCCAAAAGGAAATACTTAAACATCCATCAACTGGTGTGTGTTTGACACATTGTGGGTGGAATTCAGTTTTGGATTGCATAGTTGGTGGTGTGCCAGTTATTGGTAGGCCATTTTTCGGAGACCAGAAGATAAACATAAGGATGATGGAAAGTGTATGGGGGATTGGTTTGGGAGTTGACAATGGGATTTTGACTAAAGAAGCCATTCTGAAAAATTTGAAATCAATCTTAAGTTACAGAGGAAAGCACATGCGGCACAACATACTAGAACTCAAGGAGAAAGCAATGAAAGCAATTGAACCTCATGGTAGCTCTACAAGGAATCTCACTACTTTGATATATCTTGTCACGAGTTGAAATTTAATATCAAAGTTTGGATACTAGGATAGCTAGCTATCTCGGACTAAAACGATTTTCATTAGCTCAATGAATGTGCATCATTTGGGCCGACGCAGAATTTGGGAGGGTTTTCATTGTACTACTGAACTTGTATATATATATATATATATATTAAACAAATAATTATCTCTGATTTCTGCACACTTTAGAACGCTTAATTTGATGTTAATTGTTTATATATAGGTTGATGTCTTGATGATTTTCAAGAATAATTCTCTCACTAAAAGTTAGAAGTATTTTGAATTACTCTATAAATCTCTCACTAAAAGATGAATGTAGGCTGAATGATTAAGATTTAATGTAAAATTTGTTACATTCGTATAATTTACTTTATAAATTTTAGTAGTTAAATTTCTTTTGCATTTAATTACTCAGCAGATCGATCTATTTATATATAATGACTTTAATTTTTTAGTCACATTAGTTATGCCATGTAAAAGGAATCAACAATTAAGATTAAGAATATAACTTAAGTAAAATTTTATATATTTATAAGGGGAGTTACATTTCTCTACCAGAAATTTATCATGCGATCACGCACTTACGTGGTGTTTGGTTGAAGATTTCTTAAAATTTACCTATGCAAATCAAATTGGCAAAGTAAGAAAGCAATGTTTGGTAGAAGATTTTACAAAATTTCTCTAGGTATTGTATTGGTATAGCATTTCTTATTTGTTCATGGAAAGCAAGACAAAATTACTATTTAGAAAGACAACTTGAAGGTGGTATTTTACATTTAGCTAGCTAAATGACAAAAGAGCAACCCACTAGTAGACTTAAATACCCTCATCTAAGTGCCAAGGTTTCACTTTTTTTATGGAGTTATATTTGTAATTTGAAGTTATTTCCCCATCTATATTTTACATCAAACTAAACATAGACTTTATAAATCTTACCTAATTTGCCCGGTAAAATTTTTTCTAACCAAACAATTTTTTTATATTTTCCTACCAAACTCATTTTTCAACTATTTTCCTATCAATTACATTTCTCTAGTATTCAAAAAATTTCTTCTCAACCAAATACCGTTTAAAGGCATCCAAAAGAATGTATCAAATCCGACGAACCATCAACTTTCTAGGCCCATAACAGCAAAAGAAGTGGTTGCGGGTTTCGTTTCGTGACCCATAAAAATAGAAGTAAGAATATAGGACTGTTTGTAATAGCTTATACATTGATAAAGTTTAGCCCTTAGCTAGCTAGAATTGTTCTTGGGAAGATGCCCATTGATTTATTATTTTTTTTTAACTTGTTTTTTCCCCAGTTATTCTTTTAAAAAATATTATCTCCAGTTAGAAAATGAATCCTATTAATAGAAATTGAATTTCTTAATAATTAGATTTTGTTTTCCCGATAAAAAAACTATAATTAACTGTAAATATCTCTAAAAAAGAAAACACTAGATAGTTAATTTTTTTATCAAAATAAGTTCACATTATTATCTTTGAGTTTTAAATAAATAGATGATCCCATCACTTTAAATTATCTAATAACTAGCTTTCAATCTTGACGAATTCTTTCCATTACTCTAATTATGTGCTTTATATGGCTCTTACAAATTAGTTTAATTAAATAGTTATGTAAAAGTAGCAATAGTATTCATATTTCTTTTTCCCGATAAAAAAACTATAGTTAACTGTAAATATATCTAAAAAAGAAAATACTAGATAGTTAATTTTTTATCAAAATAAGTTCACATTATTATCTTTGAGTTTTAAATAAATAGATGATCCCATCACCTTAACTTATCTAATAATTAGCTTTCAATCTTGACGAATTCCTAGCATTACTCTAATTATGTGCTTTATAGGGCTCTTACAAATTAGTTTAATTAAATAGTTAGAGTAGGTGATATTTACAAATTTTTTTGTTTACAAACTATACTATCTTCTCCTGGGAGAACACTAATTTCACTATGTTTTCTCGGGAGAAGATAGTGTAATTCGTAAAAATTTATCAAAAAAGTTTGTGAACGAATCATTCCTCAAATAGTTATGTAAAAGTAGCAATAGTATTCATATTTCTTTGCACTGATAATACACGCACACACACATATATAGATAGGATTATTTGACACCAGTATCAAATTTAAAATTTGACATCTCATCTGAGAGCCGTTAGATCAAAAAAGGTCAAAGAGTCGTTGATCTTTTTTGATCTAACGGCTCTCAGATGAGATGTCAAATTTTAAATTTGACACTAGCGTCAAAAGATCCTACCTCATATATATATTTATAGGGGAAAGATCCGTTTACAAACTTTTTTTACAAGTTACACTAAATATGACCGGTAATACACTCTTGATTGAAGTGAAGTATGACCGGTCATACTTAGTGTAGTTTGTAAAGTTCATAAACAAAAAAGTTTGTAAATATAACCTCCCATATATATATATATATATATATATATATATATATATATATATATATATATATATATATATATTACAAATTACACTATCTTCTCCCGGGGAGAACATAGGGAAACTAGTGTTCTCCCCGGAGAAGATAGTGTAGTTTGTAAAAGTTTGTAAACAAAAAAGTTTGTAAATATAACCTGCCCCTATATATATATATATATATATATATCCAAAAATTACAAAAATAAATAAATAAAATTGATCAAACATTTCATAAAGGTGTTAGTAACCAAAACCACATTCTTCTCACAACGGTACAAAGATAAAATACTTCAACATAAACATATTCTTGGTCCAAGAAGACAGTACACCATAAACATGCAAATTATATTCGCATTCAGTTTGTTGCCAGAAAAAATAGCATTATGCATAAAAAAGGAAAATACAACATCTTTAAAGTATGTACTCTATAATTTAATTTCAATACGTGTACTGTCAAGAGTGGAAAAAACGGGAGCAGGCTGCAAATGACAAACAAGGAAAGCTGCTCGTAGGTTTACTGTGGTCAAAATGGATAGTTTGCCTGTGCTTTGGCATGATTGCACCTTGGGAAAAGCCATTTTTAGCATGATTAAAGATTCTTTGGGATCTTTATTAAGTTGTAACTAGGAGTAGGGATCTTTGTTTAACACACTAGCTTGACATTTCTTGTGAAAGAGCTATCGAAGCCAATGAAAATCCTGTTCATATACCTTCAATATTTTTGTGAAAATTCCAATAAGGTAATGTTCATCTAATTGTGCAAAACAAACAGCTGAAGATGATCGCCTTTAGGTCCAGAAAAAGATCACGAATGCAATGCATTGTACAACTTTCTATTTTTTTTATTGTTATATCCATAAAGCTCAGAAAGCCAGCCTTTTCTGCCAACCCTTGGAACCGTTTGATATATATTTATTAAGAGAAATATATTTATAAAAATTTTGTTTATAAATTCTTACAAACTCAACTATGTATTCCCATAAATAAATTCGATTGGGAATGTATTTCGATGAATACATAATGTAGGTTATAAAAGTTTAAAAATTTGTAAATATAACCTATCATATTTACCAATATATAACACAGCAAGTAATTATACATATATATTCAGTAGTAAATCTATAAAATGCATATTTTTTTGCACATATCATAGATTAATTATAATTTATTGGTTTCCCCAATCCCGATGGAGTAATCAAGGTTCTGCTGAACTCGTAATCACGGTCGTAAAGGTGAGTTTTAGTGCATTAGAATCTCATTTAGCTTCAAGTTAATGGAACATTTATTTAAAGCTTAAAGGATTTTATATATCAAGTGCCTTAAGTTTGTTGTTTAGAACAAACTGATTAATAGTTTCTACATCACATCACTCAAACATCGATTTACATTATTATATATTCACGATGTTGTTTACAAGACCTGTTACTCATACTTCTCTTTCCCCATCTTATGAGACCAAGACAACAAATTAAGATAGCCAGATAGTTAACTACAGAGTGTAACCTAGTTCATAATCTTGGAACATCCCTTCTGGCAGAATAACTGGAGTATTCGGTGAATCCCAGGAGTTTGAGGATGCTGATTTGGTGTCAGAATCATTGGACCACCAAATGAAGCTGTCCTTTGAACCATTCATCTCTCTGAAACAATCAAATTGAGCCATGTGATCTTCCTGTGGTATGTAACCCATTGTTCTGTTGTTTAGAATTTCATCTAGTTCAGTTTGCAGCGCACCAAGTTGCTGAAGTCCCACATTAGTCTTCTCAACAGCCTCTGCTCTTGGTGCAAGACTTGAATGCATTGGATTATTCCCAGAAGCAATGAAAGGAACTGAACTGTTGTTCAAGGAATTCCCCAAAAGATCAACCTGTGGGTTATTGATCTTTGCATCATCTTGTTGAACTACATCACTCCTAGGAGGTTTATAGAACTCATCTTTTTGTCCTTCCCCAACATGAGGGAAAGGCAAAGCATTTTGCATCACAGGGTTAGAGCTATCATTTGAAGATTGCAGGCTTTGGATCATCTTTTGTTGGAAAGGATGCAATTTTGGCCACAGTGCAGGATTATTGTAGAAAGAGAAAGGGTTTTGAAGGCTTTGAAGGTGCATATGAAGTTGGAGTCTTTCAAGAGCGGAGCTACTTAAGCCATTTGAATATGAGTTTTCCTCTATTCCTTTTGTGTCTTTTTGGTTGATGTTAGATTGTTTGCGCCTCCCAAGCAGTTTCTTCTTCAATCTAGTGTTCCAATAGTTCTTGATGTCATTATCTGTCCTTCCAGGTAACTGAGCAGCAATAATGGACCACCTAATACATAGATATGAAGTTGAAAAATATGTTCACTTTCTAGGAATAACTAAAAGAAGCATGGAGAGATTCTAGTGACAAAGAAAAAAAGACAAAACAATTATGTTGAAAAACTACAGCAAAAAGCTCGCAGATAGAGATGAGGGTTTTCAGAGAGAAGGACCTGCTGCCAATGCTAATGTAAAGGTTGCAGATGATGTTGTCTTCTTCTTCAGTAAACCCACCATGTTTGATATTAGGTCTCAAGTAATTTAACCACCTAAGTCTGCAACTCTTTCCACATCTCTTGAGCCCTGAGAATTTTTTGTATCCATCAAAGAAGATTTTGCAATAATCGATGATATATTATTATATTCAAATTTCACCTTTCCAAAGCCAAACCATGTTCAATCAGATTACTCTCAGACTCAAATATATATATATAAATATACATACTCTAATTAAGAAGATAAGAAAAATGTAAAAGAGAGAGGGTGGTGTACCAATTTTCTGAGGAAGAGCAATCCAATTGCCTCCAGTTCCATTATTTTCAATGTAGGCTTTTAGTGCAGCATCTTCTTCGGGAGACCAAGGTCCTTTCTTCACGTTGGCCTTGTCACAGCATGGAGCTCTACCCATCTTTTTTTGTGTTGTTATGATCTCTCTAATTAGGTTTCTCTCAGGTAATGCTTTCTGGCTTCTTCTTTTTTGTTGAAGCAAATATTAAGAGATGGCTTTTGTGATATTGTTGGGAAACTACTGCGAAGGAAGACCATCATTTATAGGTCATAAGAGTGGCTGATGTGATGCTTAGAAGGACAAAAAGTCTTACACCTCACCCTCTCTCCCTTTCCTTACTAGCTATATTCAACTCCTTATTTTTCTTCTAGCTAGGGTTTATTCATCTCTCTTCCTTTTTGGATTAGTTCGCTCATCCGCGTATAATTATGCATGCAACTGGACAAAAGTAACATAAATTTTCTTCTTCTTTTCAATAAAAAAATACACTGCTTTTCATTGCTTTATTAGTTTAATGCTTGAACCCGGTGCTACAAGTTTTTGATCAAAAGAAGTCTCCATCCTCTTAGTTTGTCGGCATTATCCTCGAAAATGTTCCATTGTCAAAGCCATCACAACTATGCTATAGCCTTGTTGTATTGCCAGAAAAATGTACGACCTGCTGCTCATTGGCAATTAATTCTTAAATTAAAATATGGAGATATTATACTTATAACCTATTTTCTTTTACAATCTGTTATTATTGATTGTTGGTTCAAAATCAAATCAACAATTTTTATTTAATGTCATTTTATAACCGTTGATTTGATTATGATCTAACAACCAAAGATGATTGGAAGAGTTTATAAGGAAAAATTAAGAGGTTGTAAATATAATCTCCCTCTTAAAATATATATAACCTTGTGTAATTAATATTTAACTTAAGGATTCTTATGGAGAAAATGGGAGATAAAATTATCTCCAGCAATCTTAAAACTACGTCATTTTAAGTGTTCGGGAAATTAACGAAGGGTATATTGGTAAAATTTATATAACAAAGAAATAAATAAAATTCATAAAATATCCTTCATTAATCCCCTCAATTCCCAAAACGACGTAGTTTTGAAGTTGCTGAAAATAATTTTATCTCCTACGGCAGGAGAAATATTTTTTTTTCCAAAAAAACAAATACATTTAAGAATAAAAGATGAGCTCAGACAATTAAAAATGAAAATTTCTGACATATATCATATTTAAAAAGGCAAAAAAAAAAAAAGGAAGAAATGTTGTAACATACATTTTTTTTTCTGGGGGTGAATAATGAAGCATTTGCATTTAGCCAAAAAAATAAAAATAAAAACTGTTTGATTGCACATGTGATCTGCAGAAGGACATGCATGTGCTTGCGAACTTTTTACTTTTTCCCTTTGTTCTCATCAATGTTGGAACATTTTCCTTTATAAGTCAACCGTGAATTTCATTCTATGACGCTTGCCTTTAAAATTGAAAGAATATTGCGACAAATTGGTTCATAATGGATTGTACGGACATTTCTCTCTCTTGAAATGGAAAACATGATATTGTGGGAAAGGTTCTCTGAATATTTTAGATCCACATAAATAGCCAGTGATATTTCTTTTTGAAGGTCTCAAAATATACACTATAAAATGTTAAGCAATTGAACTGTTTATAGGAAACCAATATATATATATATAGGTTGACGAATATATATATATATATATATATATATATATATATATATATATATATATATGTTGACGAACTGAATATGAAAGCTAGAAAAACTATAGTCAATGCCTTGAAAATGTATCCGTCCTTGTTTGCTTTCACCACAAAATCATAACAAACTGATACTTATTTGAAACTACACCAATGAAAACTGGCATCTTTTCCGTCATGACAAGATATTTATCGTACGAAAGTTCATGTTCTTTCACTCGAGTATATATCTTCTCAACCGGCCTATAAAAACCAAAGTCTCTAAGCTTGAATTCTTGACATGACATATGAATTAGGGAGGAAAAATTATTCTTAAACATTCTATGCCACCTTTCATCGATTTGAGCTTTTTTTTTTTCTTAAATATCAATAGGTGTACGTCCAAAATCTCAACAAACTCGATTAATCCAATTTTAATCTCGACCTTTTTCAGGAATTGCAACTTCTAAAAATCGAATTTATTATACTTTGGACAAGTCAAATCCTAATATCTATCACTAGACCAACAACTATTGAGTAATGAATTGAGCTTTTAGGAGACACATACAAGTTCAACTATATAGAATTTTCATAATAGTTTATGTTGTATAGAGAGATATATGATTTTTTGATATCAGTGTCAAACTTTAAAATTTGACACTAAATCCTAATTGTTGATTTTCGTCAATCAACGATTATTATTTATTGGAAATTAATAATTAATTAATAAATTTAATTTGCAGAAGTTATAACCGTTGATTGACACTAATGTCAAAGAAATCTCTCTCTCTCTCTCTCTCTCTCTCTCTCTCTCTCTCTCTCTCTCTCTCTCTCTCTCTCTCTCTCTCTCTCTCTCTCTCTCTATATATATATATATATATATATATATATATATATATATATATATGGGTTCATATTTTCTTATGTTGCATGACAACATAAGAGAACAAAAGTAGAGACAAAATTAAATGTAGGTCCCACATTTTATATTAGAAAAGAAAAAAAATTAATTGGCACGGAAAACGAATTTGTGCAGGAAATTTTTGTACTCTCCTATTGACGGAGAGCATGATTTTCCTATATATATATATATATATATATAGTCCCACATCATGTATTTCAAGTTGCATATACCCAATAATTCTATAGATAATATAACCTTCGCTATACTACACACATGGTTTATTCCAATGTTTCTTTCATCTTGTTACTCTACAGTTTAATTATACATCTATGCTTACTAAGTAACTATTTCTTGTAAAAATAGGCTATATAATCCTTTTTTTTTCAAAGTTATAGAAGATCAACGTAGATATTCTGGCTCTCCAAACAGCTTATCATAATTGAAAGAAAGCCTTGGAGCTCGGGATTGGTTGTGCAATAATGGAACTATGAGATTATAAAAGTGGAAATGAAAAAGTCAAACATTTGCTAAATTAATCGATTTACCTTTATTTATTTGGTTCTTTTTTTTTTTTTTACTTTTTTTGGGCTAGGAATTAGTTGGTTTATTATCAATAAATTCTTTTTAATTTTTCATTTTTCATTTTTATTTTATTTTCTTTTGTTCCTTTTTGACAAGTTGGGTAGGACATGCTAAAAACAATTAGAAACTGTATCAAAACAAGAAAAGTAGTAAAACCAAACAGAAAGGTTTTTGCAATTCAATATTTTTCTGAAGTAGCACCACTCATTGACCTTGGTTTCCTAATTTAATACTTCATCTAGTGCTTTTTTTTAATCAAGAAGCAGGAAAATAAAGGTCTGGAACCGCACCCACCTAGAAATATAACAAGGGGAAACCATCAAATTCAAAAAGCACTAAGCTCCCAAATATATAAACATTAATATCTTTATCATTAAATAGTCTCGGATCTTTGGGACGAAGATAACATGCTTCTGCTTGTCTTACTCCTTAACTAAGAATCTTTGCATTGACGCTGTATTTCTTTTTCTTCTTCAAGAAAAAGGTGAAGAGAAATGGGGAAAAGAATAGTGCATTTCATCATCAAGAAGACCAATTTAGTGTAACAGCTGGGGAACACAGTTCTGGTGAGAGGATAAACATGGAAGACCATATAAAAAATAAAATTACTGTTAATTATTGATGCAAACTTGATTTATTGATATACGTCGAGTATCAATTCTTGTGAACAATATTATTTGATATAACTAATGATGGCCCGTGCCTTAAAGCAGGTATTCTTACAATTTTAATTGAATGATTATTGTAACATTTTTTTGATTTCTTTGATTATATTTGCACAATCAAATGCTCTATTTACTTTATACTTAATAATGATATTAGAATGATCATCATTATGAGTTTAAGTTTTGGGTTAATTAGTTGTATTATATGATTTCACCACTTGTGAATATGCCTGTGCCGGGATTGAACACCCACCACACAACCATATTTTTGGTGATTATGAGAAATAAAAATAAAAAGCACAAATAACTTGATTTGCTTTTGGTACCCATTATTAGCTTCTATGGCGATCCAAGGAAAGATAATTTTGCTATCATGACACGTGGGATTCTCTTTGTATTTAACAGAATTAAGATAAGCATTGATCAAATAAAGTCGTTTTAATATAAAAATAGCAAGGGATTTCCCAGAAAGATCACACTCTTTTATATGTCGTCACTAGGGTTGACAAAGATGCTGTAGACTTGGAAGCCAATTTGTTTTTGCTAACAGAGTTCTCATTAATTCTTCTTTAACTTTCCACTAATCACTAGTTGCGGGAGTCCAACGAATACGTGTTAGTGCTAATAAATAAATAAATAAAAACCAAACTGTTACTATCTCTCTTTTTAAATTAATACAAATAGGATTATAAACAGTAGGATGAAACCGAACCAATTTTTTTGAAAAATCGAATCAAATTGATTTAAATGGTTCGGTTCGAAAATAGTTCGGTTCGGTTCAGTATGGAATCGGTTGAGGTCGATCCTATTTTGAAAAGAAAAGAAAAGAAAAATAAAATTTTAAAAATAAAGTTATAAAAATTAATTTGGTTCGGTTCGGAAACGATTTCGTTCTTAAACCGATTCGGTTAATGAACTGGTTCTTTAAAAATCAAAAATCGGTTCGGTTCATGAACTGATTTTTAAAAATTGATTATTTTAAGTTCAGTTTAATTCATGATTCGATTCATTTTTTTAATTATTTTGCACACCCTCGTAAACAGACGCCGTTACGTTACCGAACTCATCTTGGTCTTTAACAACCGCCGCCCCGCCCCCAAGAAACAAATGTCAAATGGTAAACTCCTTAAGTTACTTGGTTCAATAATACTGGTAACAAACCCATATATTTAATACCTGGACCACATCTAAGTTTTTAAGTAAAACACATAATAATTATTGACTCTTAAAAATAAAAACCTCAATAACTAAATGCAGAATATTTCAACTTCGAAGTTCTAGATTTAAATCTCATTATAATCGAAGTACAGATTAAATATATCAGAGAAAGGAAATAAGCAACTCCATAAGAAACGAAGTTTTAAATTTCTTAGTAATTCAAATAAAATGTACAATGACATCATTATATGCAAACGAGTAATGCCATTGTCATGTAACTTTATTTTTTGTTTACCTTGGGTTGAGATTGAACTTTTTTGATTAGAAAATAAGGATAACAAAGGGCAAATTCTAGAGCACTTGATCATAAACTCTAATATTATGTAATGCAATTAACTCTCCATAAGGTTAAACTGTTGGGTAAAATCACATGAATTGTTTTATTATATATCTCTTGACAACTATATGTATGGACAAGAAAAAAAAATTACCCAAGTTTTAATGATATATGGTTATTTGATAGTTAAAATGGTTGGAACCTCTTTATATCTATGAATCAATCACAATTCACCATGACGGGCACTTTAGAACAAATATCCTGGTTATGTGATATTTTCTTATCCAATTTCATATTCAAATAGATGTTTTATCTATCCAGTATGATAGTCATTTAATTAAACTCTTAAAAAAAAAAAAAAAACAAATAAATTGCAATGTACATGCTTTTGTTGGTGATTCATCAAATAGATTATGGACACGTGTACGAAGTCCGCGTACTTTGACATTTACACAAAAGTCTACCCCGTGTGTTAGGTATGAAGTAGCAGTCCTATTAGAGGGCCAGGGGAGTAGATGTTGATAGTGTCACAGGAATTGACCTTGTGGATTTTCTTCACATTTTGAGAGTTGGTGATGCCACAGCATCTTACTCAAAACTTTATTAATATAATCATTGGAAAACCATTAAAATCCCCTTATTGAAACCGATGATATCTACTTTAGATCGATAAGGGCCAGGCACAAAAAATTTAATTGAGTCAACGACATGTTAAATTTATGATTTTGTCATCTAACAAAGCCTTAATGTGTGATATCAGTTCGTCTTGCCAAAACCATCTCAACGATGTTTTATTTTTTACTTCTTCTTCTTGTTATTGGAGAGTTTTGAATATAAAGAATGCCCAAGAGTTCTGTTATTCTTGAATACCCCCAAATTCCTCGAAAATATGATGATGATCCTGTTATATAACATGGTAACATCAATGTTTTTTTTTTTACGTAGACCATCAACAAAAAACAGTGTGTTTTACTTCGCCAATACAGGTTGTGGTTCTGTGATTCTTACCATTTCCAATATTTGTTGTATTCCCTCGTTAAAACTTGCACAACTTGTAATATGCTAATTCATTCTCCGAATTTCTCAAGCGTTCATTTCAGTAAACCAATAAATGGTCTACATGAGTACACAAGCTGCAAAATGGTACACAGACAGATTCATAGGAAAAAGTCTTAGGTATTATCTGCATTAAAAAGAACAACGACTCAAAGGCACTCATTCTGGGTGGGTAAGAACTTTCTTATGTTGTATGCTCCACATTTGACAAAAGAAGCAGGTCAGGTTGTTACATAAAAAATAACCTTTATTGATACAGCTTCAACAGCCAAAACACATCTTTAAGCATGCATATTCATGTCATTGAGAATATATCATATCAATATAATAAAGCAACTCAAATTAAATGTTTATGACAAATTGAATTTGTTCGATTGTTCCATTTGCAAATAGGAAGCATAATTCGTCATTATCCTCTCCATATGAAGCACAGGAAGCGTGTCGTTGGTTAATTTATGTACACATCCCTCCAGAAGGCATGGTTCCCCCTCAGTTGATGGTAAAACTACTACTATTGCTACCATCACCCTGATCACGTGCAAAAGCCCTGCAGAGGACGATTAAATTCACACTCATTACCAAAAGAAAATATTTCTCTAGCCAGTATTTGGAACTCCACATTAACTAAATCACTCACACTGTGACATTCTGATATTCCACATGTAGCTTTCTTCAGAGCACAATGCCGCTTCTGGGAGGAAATCCATGCTAAAGTGCCATTAACTGCACTAAGGAAAATACCATTAAAGGCAACATTACATAAGATTTTTTAGACTAAACCGAGGCATGATATTACAATATAAGCGTGGATAAGCTTGAATATAGGGCCTTTAAATCCTTTTTTTTTCCCTTTTAAAGCTAAGCTTGTTGGTGCCTTGAACTGGAAGAATCATGCTTCGCCTTATTTCCCTTCTTCCACCAATTCTAGGCTACATACAATGTAAGGGCAATTGACTATTTCAAGATCAATTGACTATTTCAAATTCATTGAAGCAGCCATACTCCTCAGCTTCTTGGAAATTTCTGAAAATGATGGCCTTTCAACAGGATCAGAAGACCAACAACTTTCCATTAGAGACTTCCACTCAGGATCACACCACGTTGGGATTTGAGGACGTAAAATGTTGTTCACAATTCCTCCTGCAAAACAAAGTCAGACAATAGTCAATACTGATATATAGCATATTCTTCTGAACACCAAAATATTCAGAATGCACTTTGAGCCAGATGTGTACAAAGATTAAGCCACTCCATCCTCCTGTCCATCAAAACAGGCAAGTTTTGATTCACTCTCCTGTCTACCCATTACCTAATTTACCTGTAACTTCGTAGCAGAGAATCTCAGGTACAAGTTATATACGAACCTGTTCCCTTCCCAGTTCTAAAAAGTTAAGTTCCTCAGCTACATTAGAATTACATGACCACAGTTCAGGTCCAGCTCAAGTAAGCATTAGAACTAAAAAATATATACCATAAAATCATCACTGGCACCTGATCTTCAATATATACCAACACTATGTTTTCCTTTTTCGTTATCTTTTTACTAAGGGAACTTCTTCAAAGATAAATTTAAATTATCCAGTCTCAAATTCTACATCTCAACAAGGATTCAATGATGTTTCTTATAAAGAAGCTATGTACTAATATCCTCTCATCTGGCAAGCTCAAACAACAAATCTAAACATGACAACACTATGTGAAAGACAGACCACCTAATCCTGTAATACTGAAGCTCCCTGCAAAGTCTGCAACAAGTAACTGACGCATGACAAATTTTGATAAACCTGACGGTGTAAGGAGATTTTCTGTTCTGCAATTAAGTCACAACACACTTACTTCGAACCATTTAGGTGTTTCATATCACAAGATTTTTACAGCAGCATCTAGGATTGGATGCGGAGGAAGTAACTAAGGTAGGCAAATACATGATTATAGACCCGATACATAGACAAACAGACAGAAGGCCCAGAGAAAATTCATAAAGCGGTGAGGAAGAGGATAAAGAGAACAAGAACTGCAAGTTATCGACCAAGAGGGTCAGCCAAAAACAAAATTACAGCAATTCATGTCATTGTTATCTTGCTTGAATACATTGAACCCATATTCACTCCTTACTACAGTTGTCGAATTCCTGAGCAAAATATAATAGAAGAGAGTAACAATACTCTTACAAGCACGTCTTTAACAAGAATGTGAACAGATAGAATCGCTTTACAACCCAAAATATAATATGTACCAAAACAAATTGCTCTATGCAAATATTTTGTTACTTCGATCTCACCTATTATTGAAGCGCAATGCATCTCAGCATAGGGTTCATCCCCTGTGAGTAACTCCCACATGACTATCCCAAATGAGTAAACATCAATCTACAACACAAGCAAGTATAAATGCAAAGAAACATCATCAGAAAAGAAAAGGATATTAGCAATGTAAAGTTGAACAGCTATACCAAGAATACCTTCTCGGACACCATATTGCTTTTCCCGCTGAGAAGTTCAGGTGCCATCCATGGCAAAGTTCCCCGTACTCCTCCAGACACTAGAGTATGCTGTTTAACCTTAGATAAACCCAAGTCACCAATCTGAAAAATTAAACACTGTTTCAATCTCTGCTAGCAGGTTGCTTTTATATATATAAATATATAAAACTTTCTAAAATTTGCATCATGAGTTATTTTATCCTAATTTTCATGGGTACCTTACAGACAGGCCGTTGTGGGTCTCTCATATTAACCAATAGATTCTCACACTTCAAATCAAAATGCACAATGTTCTTTCCATGCAAATACTCCATCCCAAATGCAGCATCCATAGCAATAATGAGCCTCTTACGACGATCTATCGTTCTGTTAAATTGCTCCGAAGAAACAGCATAAATAATATATCATCAGTACACAAGAATTTTCAGATGGGAGAGCACACATTCCAGTGCTTGAAAACATTGATGAAATATAAATTCCTTCATGCATCAAATTACCTATCTTTCTTATGCAAGAACTGTTTTAAAGATCCATTAACCATGAATTCTGTTACTGTTGCTAAAGAACCATCAGGTCCATCACGAACAATACCATAGAAGGAGACAACATTTGGATGATGTAATGAACTGAGCATCAATGCCTCCTTCCAGAAATCTGCAATCTGGCACAACAACCAAAATGAAATCATTATATAGAGCTGGGGCTCTAATAAATGTTTCAATATATACCAAACAACTTCTATGCATTTATACTTGCTTTATCATTCCTCTGTTTTAAGTATCCTTATACAGCGGGAAATTCAGATGTTTCTTTCATCCTACACAAAATGAATGAATTTCTATATTGAACAAAATTGTGACACAAACAATATGTCTATACCAGGGCTATCCAATGAATTACAGCTTCAATAGGATCTCTAACTTCAATCCCAAAAGTAATCCATCACTATATATTAAAATACTATACACTATCTTGAGAGCAGTTTAATCTCTTAGTCTATTCTCCCTTAAAAAATGACACATGTCATTCTTAACTTCCCTTCTTTTAAATTTTAAATAGAAAATCTTCTGAATTAATTATGCATATCTACTTTATTCTTTTAAACGTTTTTTCTCTTTAATTTATTATTGAAATATAAGACTGAAATGTATTTTTTCATATATTGATTGACACCCCAAAGGGTTCTATTTATACATATTACAAGGTAGTTAAGGAGATGAAGTAATAAATAAAATACACAGTGACCAAAGAGGCATCACACTATTCAAAGATACTAGTAGCTAGAAACAAGTAAAAGACTCTAGAATATTCTACACTCCCCCTCAAGTTGGGAGATATATATTGATCATCCCCAACTTGCTAATTAAATCCTCAAAGCTGGGTTTATGTAATCCTTTGGTGAGAATGTCGGCTGTTTGCTCCTCGGTAGGTATATATGACAAACATACACTACCCTCCTCTAATTTTTCTTTAATAAAATGACGATCAACCTCCACATGTTTGGTTCTATCATGATGTACAGGATTTTGAGCAATACTGACTGCAGCCTTATTATCACAATAGAGTCTGACAGGTAGAGAATAAGATATCTTTAACTCTTCAAGGAGTCTTCTTAACCAGATTCCTTCACAAATGCCATGGGCTAGCGCCCGAAATTCTGCTTCTGCACTGCTTCTGGCAACAACAGTTTGTTTCTTACTTCTCCAGGTCACAAGATTTCCCCAGACATAAGTACAATATCCTGAAGTGGATCTTCGGTCCATTGCAAAGCCAGCCCAATCAGCATCTGTATAGATTTCTATCATCCTCTTGTGTCCCCTTTTAAAGAGCATTCCTCGACCAGGGGTGTTTTTGAGGTACTTGAGGATTCTATAAACCGCACTAAGGTGTTTTTCCTTAGGAGAATGCATGAATTGGCTAACCATGCTAACTGCAAATGCAATATCAGGCCGAGTGTGAGATAAGTAGATCAGCTTCCCTACCAACCTTTGGTACTGCTCCCTGTCAACATCTTTTCCATCTTCAATTCCCAATTTAATATTGGGTTCAACAGGAGTTTCTACTGGCTTGCACCCGAGCATACTTGTTTCTTGTAGCAGGTCTAGGATATATTTCTTCTGAGATAAGGAAATTCCGGCCTTGCTACGAGCAACTTCCATTCCAAGGAAATATTTGAGTGATCCAAGATCCTTCAGTTCAAACTGATTAGCTAAACCCCCCTTTAAAGATTTTATTTCCTCCCAGTCATCACCAGTGACAATTATGTCATCAACATAAACAATGAGGATAGCAATTTTGCCACTATCGGAGTGTTTAAAAAATAAAGTGTGATCAGTCTGAGCTTGGACAAATCCTCTTTCTTTAACAACACGAGTAAACTTTTCAAACCACTCTCTAGGGGATTGTTTAAGTCCATAAAGAGACTTCTTCAACTTGCATACTGAACCATCTCTCTCTTCAAAACCAGGTGGTGGATCCATGTAAACTTCCTCATGTAAGTCCCCATTTAAGAAGGCATTCTTTACGTCCAATTGATGCAAGGGCCAATCAAGGTTGGCAGCAAGTGATAGTAGGACTCGGATAGAGTTAAGTTTGGCAACGGGAGCAAACGTCCCCTGATAGTCTATCCCATAAGTCTGAGTAAATCCTTTGGCAACCAATCTGGCCTTATATTTGTTGATGTTGTTATCTGCATTAAATTTTATTGTGAACACCCATTTGCAACCTACAGTTTTCTTTCCTCTGGGAAGTGCCACGGGTTCCCAAGTTCCATTTTTCTTAAGTGCATCCATTTCTTCAAAAACTGCATCCCTCCATTTAGGGTCATTAAGTGCCTCTTGGATATTTTTTGGTATTTTTGTACTGTCTAATATAGTGTTGAAAGCACGAAAACCTGGAGATAACTTTTCATATGAAATGTGATGAGAAATAGGATGAGCAGTGCAAGATCTAGTACCTTTTCGAAGGGCAATGGGCATATCTAGGTCAGATGTACCGGTGTTCTCAAGTGGATTGCTGGAACTAGGACTCGGGTCAGAAATCTGGCAGTCTAGAGGATCTTGAGGAGATTTACGCCTGCTGTAGAATTTTCCCCATTTACCGGGAGGATCTCCAGTCTCTGGTACAATTTTTGTCCTTTTCTCCTGTACATTAACTCCCCCTGTCTCCATAGGTAAAGAAACAACACTTGTTTCCAAGGGTAAAGGTAAGACAGTAGAATTATTTGGAATCCAAGACTTGTCTTCATTTACACCAATAGACTCCCCCTGAAGAGAAGTCGAAGGAAAAAATGATTGTTTTTCATAAAAGGTAACATCCATAGAAACAAAGACCTTTCGAAGAGAAGGTGAGTAGCATTTGTACCCTTTTTGATTAGGAGGATATCCTATGAAGACACATCTAACAGACTTAGGATCAAGTTTTGACCTTTGATGTGGAGGAATGTGAACAAAAGCCACACAGCCAAACAACTTTGGAGGAAGGGAAGAGAAAGCCCGAAAGGAGGGGAAAAAACGGGTAAGGCAAGATATGGGAGAATGAAAATTCAGGACACGAGAGGGCATCCGATTGATAAGATATGAGGCAGTCAATACAGCCTCCCCCCATAGGTATTTAGGGACATGCATCGTAAACAAGAGGGCTCTAGCAACTTCAATGAGATGTCTATTTTTTCTTTCGGCCACCCCATTTTGTCGAGGGGTGTTAGGACAAGAACTTTGATGGATAATACCTTGCTTGGTTAGGTAATCCCCAAGAACTGAATTAAAATATTCAGTACCGTTGTCAGTTCGCAGGATTTGGATAGAGGTCTGGAATTGAGTTCGTACCATAGCATGAAAGTTTTTAAAAGTGGCTGCAGCTTCAGACTTATCCTTTAGAGGATATACCCAGCATACTCTAGAATGATCATCAATGAAAGTAATAAACCAACGAGTTCCAGATATATTTTTTTCACGAGCTGGTCCCCAAATATCACTATGGATCAATGTAAATGGAGACGAAACATTATAATCTCTGAGGGAATAAGAAACACGAGAGTGTTTTGCAAACTGACAATCATCACAAAAAAAGGAACTTGGTTTTTTATTGATAAATAAGTTTGGAAACAACTTTTGAAATAAAAGAAATTTGGGTGTCCTAAACGACGATGCCACAACAAAACATCATTATAATCGTCTGATAAACATAAAGAGTGATTTGCAAAAATTCTCTTTTCATGAGAATCTTCTTCAAAATAGTAAAGTCTTTCTTCCTCTCTAACACTGCCAATCATCAGCCCCGAATCCTGTTCCTGAAAAACACAGGTTTTGGCAGAGAATTTAGCAACACAATGCAATTCAGAGGAAAGTTTACTGATAGAGATAAGGTTACAAGTAAGAGAAGGGACATGAAGGACAGAGTTCAGAGTAATATGATCAGAGAGCTTAATGGATCCCTTTCCCGCAATATTAGAGAAACTACCATCAGCAGTCCTTATTCGTGACGGGTGATAATAAGGGGTATAAGAACAAAACAAGGATGCATTACCTGTCATATGATCAGAGGCTCCTGAATCAAGAATCCAACGACTACTACGATCAACATGGAATGCCATACCTTGTTGAGCAACATGACTAGTTGCCTCAGCAGATTGAGACATTACCTTCTGGAATTGCTCATACTGAGCTTTTGGGATGAATACACCATCGGAGTTTGGAAAGGCACGAGACTCCTCACCCTTATCATCAGAAGAGATTTGATAAGCATGACTCTTGTTCAGCCCCTTTGTTTTCCAGTTTAGTGGTTTTCCATGAATTTCCCAACATTTTTCGCGAGTGTGACCACTCTTATTGCAATGAGAACACCATCGGTCAGAACGTTTTGCATCACTAGGGGGACGAGGAGTATGTTTTGCTACTAGGGCAGATACATCGGAGGATTTAGAGTTCTTGTCTCCCAACATTACCTTTCGGCGAAGTTCCTCCCGTCGTACCATAGAAAAAGCAGCTGCAATGGAAGGTAACGGGTTCTGTCCCAATATCCTTCCACGAACATCATCAAGGTCACGATTAAGGCCAGCAAGAAAATCATAGAGACGTCTTTTCTCTAAATAACTCTTAAACCTTGCATTAGCTTCTAAACCTTGAAGATCTGCTGCATCATAAAGATCCAACTCCTGCCACAGAGTTTTTAAAGCAAGAAAGTATTCAGTAACAGACATCCCCTCTTGATGTAACTCTCTTACCTTGGTGTTGAGTTCAAAAGCTTGAGAAGCATTGCCTAGGTCAGAATAATATTCTTTAACGGCATCCCAAATTTCCTGAGCCGTATCAAGAAACAAATAAGTTTGACTGATATCAGGATCCATGGAGTTAGTCAACCAGGTCATGACCAAGGCATTTTCAGTCATCCATTTATCATAATCAGGATCATCGACTTCGGGTTTTTCCTTTTTTCCATCAAGATACCCCATTTTCCCTTTTGCTTGGATAAACAGCTTGACAGATTGATGCCATTGCACATAATTCTTACCGTTTAAACGGTGGTTAGTAATCTGTATAGCTGGGTTGTCTCCAGAAGACGAAAAACAGGAAAGAGGAGAGACACCGGAAACATTTCCGGATAATTTTTCAGAATGCTTATTCTCATCCTCATTATTTCCAACTTCCATCGTTCTAAAAAGAAGGAGAGCAACAGGTCACGCCTATTGTCTTTGATAACGAAGAGGAAACAACTGGACTTAGCAAGAAAAGTGATCCAATCGTGATTTAAACCCTCAGAACAGGAAGAGGGAAGCCAAGCGAGCTGTTCTGTGGAAGCCGCGTGACAAACGGAAGCCAGCAGGGTGGCGCGTGGCTCACACGCGCCGGAGAAGCAGATCTGTGGTGGCGGCGCGTGGCTGACGGTCCGGCGACGGGGCTGTCGTGGGTCGACTCGGAAATGGCTTCTGAGTTCAGTGGTGGTCTTGGTTTCATGATTGAAGGGGTCTAGATATGGTTTCTGAATTATATAAGCGAAACAGTGAAAAAAAATGGAAAAAAAGCGATGGAGGTTTACAAGAAGACCACAGGATAACCTGCTCTTGATACCATATTGAAATATAAGACTGAAATGTATTTTTTCATATATTGATTGACACCCCAAAGGGTTCTATTTATACATATTACAAGGTAGTTAAGGAGATGAAGTAATAAATAAAATACACAGTAACCGAAGAGGCATCACACTATTCAAAGATACTAGTAGCTAGAAACAAGTAAAAGACTCTAGAATATTCTACATTTATATTTTTAAAATTCTATCTGAATTAATTATGTTTACCTCCCTTATAATTTTAAACATTTTTTAATTTATGCTTTTTAAATTATACTTGAATATAAAAGTATTTGTGTAATGCACGAGATACTTGGTAGTTATAATATATGATACATAAAAATATTTCGTCGAGGCCAACATTTTAGGTTTTGATGAGCTCATAAAAAAATAATGTAACTATTTTTCACTTTAGTGAAGTTTTTGAGTAAAAGGTTGAATATTCTTGACACAGAGAAGAATAAATAATTTTTATTATACAAGTTTAAATCAGTAGTAACTTAAAAAAAAGGAAAAACTATCAGATACATATATTACCAATCTTGCTCTTTCAGATGGTCTTCCAGCAAAACAACTGGCTTTTATTCTCTTTATGGCAACATCAGAACCTTTCCATTTCCCATGATAAACAGCCCCATAAGTTCCAGAACCTAGCTCGCGGATCTCCTCCAAATCATCATTTTTAATAGTCTGAAAAATGATCAGCTTACCATCAAACCCGAGGTATGTGGGAAAAGGAAAGCCAGAAACACATCAAAACATAAAATGATATGAACATAATGGATTAGAGTAAGATGGGAAGAAAACCTGCAATCCCCTAGCAATTGCTTCTGCCTCAGCCTTTGTAGGTTCAATTTTAGAAGTATCTACATGGTCAATTTCAGAGTCCAATTCTAAATCACCATGAGCATTCTACAAGACAAATACATACATATCATAATATAAGGCAACATAAATTAAACACAAGCACAACCACACCTCCCTCTCGATAGAATAAAACAACTTCACTTTTTCCTTTTGAAAGAAGAAAACAAAATCACTTCATCCTCACCACGGGTTCTACTTCATTTGCTGTTTCTTCTTTGGTATTTGAATTGTGTATCTGAGAACTGGCATGCTCATCAGCTGCAGTTTTCACCTCCTCAGCAACTTCTAATGCAGCCTTTTTTACAGAAGCAATCAACTCAGGCAAGAAGCTGAATTGATGAACCAAATGCTTAGAATCTTCCGGAGCAGAACAGTCCTCACCAGCCAATTTCTCAACATGCCCACACTCTGCTGCAGGTTTTGAATTTGAATTGTTAGACTCAACAGGAGCAGCAGCTTCGCATACATTCTCAGCAATTTTATTTTGCTCTGAAAAAGATATACTCTGCACATTAGAGTTTTCAACCTTGTCCCTCTCTACCCCTTCTCTGAGCAAACTTTTCGACTGCAAACTCACTGCTACAGTCAGAGGAGTGTCATTTCTTAAAACCTCTTTATTGTGAACCATATTAAAAGATGGTTTTGGCAGCTGCATGGGTTCGAAGCAGGTTCCAGCATTTATGTCTTGTGGGGGATGAATGGTATCTACAATAATTGAGTGTTGATTTTCCTGACCTAGGGACTTTGGATTCAACTTCAGAGCATGTGCATAAGGATGTTCCGGGATGGCAGTCCCATCATTTCCTGACAGTTTCTGTGAGGAATCAACCCATGGATTTTGACTATCTGGTCCAATGAAAAATCTTGGACTACCCTCTCCCCTGATTAATCCAGCATTTATCATACCATTCACCTGCTGAGGTGGAGTGGTTGTCTCATAAGTGGGTCCAATATGAACTGGAGTTGGAGCATTTCTCCTGAAAGCATGCCCAGGTACGTGACCACAAGCGTAATTACTATCTACTCCATAAGGAGAAGATGGATTTCCATACCGCACATTGTGCTCTTCCAGGGGAGGAATTTGTAGATGTGGTATAGCAGCCACAGTTTGGTCAGGAAAGAGTTCAGCTCCCAATTCAGGAGCAGCCCGTTGAGGAGCATAATTGGAAGACGTAGTATGTCCATCAGTCACACTATCATGCCCCGGAGAGAAATTTATAACAGGAATATCGCTGACATAATGATCACTCAATCTTCCAGATCCAGAGACATGCCCTCTTGATTCCTCAACCCGAGCAGTTGTCTGATGCTGCAAACCCCATCCTCTCTCATGATTCTGGGTATCACTATAAATAGACCTATGATCATTATTAAGATCATTTGGATAGATCATAGGATGTAACTTTGCATCAGCATTCACCGTGAAACTATCCCTGTTTGAGGGGCATTCTGCACATGGATTAGCAACCAGTGGAAGTCCATTACTAACATTAGGATGCTCCACAGCTGGTTGACCTCTCGGAAAACTCATGCGACATTGCTCACATATACTGTTCCCATCAAGAACATGGGGGCCATGAAGAATGTTGCCCGGAAAACCCGACTTCTCACCATGTGCTGCTCCAGTTGGCAACCACACAACATTTTCAGAATATTGCGGTTGATTGTCATACACAGGATGGTGATTCACATGATGCCGAGCATACTCATCCGAAACTCTATCAATGCCCTTATCTGGTAACTCAGGAAATGGCACACGGTACCTTGTACCAGAAGGAGAAGATGGAAATTCAGCATGGTGACCATGATGCCTAGGAGAGTAATAAGCAGGATTCCACGAAGTATCCATTTCACTATATCTCTGGCCAATAGATGGCTGGTGCTGGATCGTGAGATGATGCAAATTGTACTGTGACATAGATAGTTCCCCACTTCTCTGGCTAGGAATTCCACTATCCACACTGAGTCGATTAAAGAACTGATCAGCCACATGGATATCCTCAACAGGGCCAACCATAGCAAACTCCGCTTGCTGCAACCTCCTAAAGTCAGAAGCATCATTTAAACTATTCAATGCATCAACATACCTCCTCTCAGATTCATCCCCATCAATGAAGTGAGAGGAACCATCCTGCTCAGATTGCGAAAACAAGAAAACCCTGAGCCTAGTGAACCCATCCCCTGACCCCAACTTGTCATACTCTTCCATCATGTTAACCACATCATCATCATTGACAACAGAGACAAGGGCATCAAGATCCTCATCAGGCTGCTGGTACTTCAACACAGCTGCCCCTTCATACAGCTCTCTCATCTTTCCCATCAACTCATCATAGCTAATATCTCTTGGAACACTCACAATACGTGTCTCTCCACCAACATAACGAAGCTTCCCATCTTGGGGACGGGGCATTATACTCCCCAGAAAGCTACACAAGAACTTAACACGCCGGCTATCATCGCCGGAACCGGGTGCTGAACCGGAACCAGTAGCCAGCAATCGAACCGCTGTGGGACTATCCATCAACAAGTGTTGTCGATATTCAATTACACTCTCAGACTCGCTCAAGCATTGAAACCCTTTATTACACATGAGCACCACTCACTCCCAAGTTTCATAACCTCATACAGGAACCGCAGAGTGTTACCCGTTGCTGCTACACCCGATAGGTGGGTGAGTTTACGATTTCAAATGACGTTGAAGATTAGGAAAATAATAATAATAATTAAATAAAAAAGCCAATCACGTTTCCGAGAATAACCACGAGCCTATTACACAAAGAGAAACAAAATAATTCGAAGCGGAAACACGAATCCGAAGCCCCGACTACAGATCCAAATTTAGAGGGAACCGTTAGCGGTACCTGACATGGCGAATTGGACGACACCCAGATACAAAAAATTCGAAATTTCGGAGTGAAAACATGACCCAATTGAAAAATCTTGATGGGTTTCAACGGCGTTGGTGGTTCTCTCTCTCACACACACACTATTGCTTTTGGTTTTTGTTTTGTTAAGATTGTGGAAGTGGGGTCCTATGTCCTGAGCTGAGAGGGGTTGGGAAGGGAGAGAGAAAGGAAGAAAGAGTTTCAACAAGGATCATAAAATTGGAAAGGAAGAAGAAGAAGATGGTGATGGTGGTGGTGGTGAAAAAGAAGAAGCGCCATAAGCATAGGCATAGGCATAACCCAAAGTTGGAGGACAAGAAGAGTGTGGCGTTGTTGGTTGAAGGATGGATGGTTCCATTCCAAGATGCGATGCCAGGTTGCCATGTAGAGTCACACGTGGCACTCTCTCGTAACGGTATTTCTTGGCATATTATTTATCTTCCTCGGATATGCCCTTTCGTCTTACGCTCCCTTCTTCTACGTGACCACCACCACACCTTCTATTTTTTATTTTCTATTTTTTATTTTTTATTCTCTCCTACATCAAATTCCCCGCACCCCTAAGGTCTCGTTGGTTATATGTAATTAGGGATGTAAATAACTTACGGTTAAATTTTAGTTTAAATAAATTAGGTTTGTGTAAAAAATATTGGGTCTAGCCTGACTTATTAGTTTATGTAGGCCTCAAATTACAAGTTTGATCTGACCTATATTTAAAAAATAAAAACTTTGGTTAGGCCTATTAGCCTGTTTAAGCTTATTAAACATTCGACAATTAAAAGAATAATTAAAATAATATTACTTTATTATTCAAAATTATTAAAATAATATTTTTATTTATTTTATTTAAAATTAATAATATGATATATGCTAACTTGTAGGTTTATAGGCCCGACAAGTACAAAAAAGCCTATGGTTTATTTTTTAAATAAATTTTTTTAAAAATTCGGGCTTATTTTATTTTACCATTTATAATAGGCTAAATTTGACCTAATATAACGGTAGGCCGGCCTAATCTATTTGCAAAATAAATATAGGTTTTGATGATTTGATAATGTTTTCCGTTAATTAACGAATTGAGAAGTTGTGGAAGTAGTTAGTTACATTATAATACAATTATTGATCAATTTCGATTCAAAATAACTTCATAAATCTGTTTGTATAACTGTTCATAATTGTTTTAGTGTTTATTTACTTTCACTTAATTGAAACTATTTTAAGTCATCAACATTTTAGTTGTGTACAACAATATGTTAGTAAAAGAATTATCAGAGACTGTCAAATATAAAATTTGAAGTCTAAGTAATTAAAAAAGGGGTAAGTAAATGCTAGATTAACTAAAGGTTATATAAATGAAATTTGACTTTTTTTTATAGTAAGGGTACTTCCAAGTATTCTTTAAGGTTGAAATACACTTATTATCAAAAAAGAACAAATAAAAGATTCATTAAACGCGAGTTTAAGACAAATGAATTAACTTGATGATTAACTACATTTACTTTTTAGGATTAGATCACTTTTAACTCAGTCCCTGGGTTAATTAAATATAAGTTACTCTTCAATTAATTTTAAAAGAGCTTCATTTCAATGCACTATCATTGATTGTTTTGCACTATTTTCCACCACACATTATTGAATGCAATAATACATTAAATTGAATTCATTTTAAAATCATACATTCCTACATCAATTTAATACTTCTGAAAAATTTAACTCCTCTTTCTAATATGTTAGCATAATATTCAAGCCCAAACAAACATGTCTTCTTAAGCAGCGGGTTTATGGGCCGATTCTGAGTCTCAGAATCCGAAAAGAAATGGCCGATGGAAGTTCCAAAAAGGTCAGATCTAAGGAAGGCATGTGTACCAAACTGTACCAAACCAAACTCCTTTGGCACAGGTGGTAAGGAGTCTGGATCTCTTAATCAGAGATCTCGAGTACAAGCTCTTGGAATAGAAAAAAAAAATTGGGAGAGCTGCCCCCGAAAGAGTCCAACATACTCGATTGGGGATTAATCTTCAGTTTCGGCTAGAAGATACCCTTCAGAATACTGAAAAAAAAAAAAAGGAAGGCATGTGTTAAAACAAAAATGTTACGAAACAAAATTATTCTACCAGCGGCAGTGGATAAGAGCATGTTTGGATGATTTTTTTTTTGTTAAGTTAAAAGCTATTTTAAGTTAAAGTTAAAAAGAATAATTTAAAAATAAAATAAAAGTTATTTGATGATTACATAAAAAAAATTAGCTTAAAAATTATTTAAAAGTTCAAACTTCATTTCAAAAAAACTGAACTTTAAAAAAAAAAAAAATTCTAAGAGCTTTTGACTTTTAGCCTTTTTTATTATTATAAGTGCTTTTGTAAAAAATTTGACCTAACTTTTATTTATAAAAAGAAGAGAAATTAAAAAAAAATAAAAATCCAAACAGACAGTACTGCCTACATTTAAGAAAAAAAGAAAAAATGTCAGTGAACTATGAGCCGGTACAAAAAAACTAAAACAATGTTCACTTCGGAATTGATTGTTTTTTTTTTCATATATTTTCAATTTTTCAATGTCTAACTTACCACACACACAAAAAAAAAACACAACCTTGAAAATCCATATTCATTGATAAGTCTCTTAAAAGAGACTTAGAACATATGGTTTAGAGTGTAATTGATGAGAAATGAATGATGTTTGTGATTAAAATATCCCAAAAATTTATGTTGGGCTTAAATTCTAATGGGCTTAAACTTGTTATTTTACAGGCCCATTGTGTTAACATTCATCAGAAAAAGGAAAAGCAAAAAGGAAGTGATGGGCCGGACCTAAAATATTAAAGCCCAGAGAAAAAAGGGAAAGGAAGAGAAGAAGATAAGAGGAGGAATTGGGCTGGATCTTTTGGTGGAAGGCCCAAGTTAAAGGAAAGGGAAGCTAAAGGGATCAGAAAGAAAACCCTAATCTCCTCTCTCTCTAACCCATTACGCTACCTAACCACAGCCGCACACCAAACCCACCCTCATCATATTTCCTAATCTCTCTTCCTCTAAGCCGTGAATCATTTTTCTGAAAGACTCACACAAACCACCAGCCACTCAAATCAAAGTCCAAGTGTGATTATTGTAACCATCTGTGACCACACAGCTTGCTTTAGCCATTATTCTAGAAGCCATACACCAACAGAATAGTGATGTGGATGCTGTTACGAGTGCGGAGCGAAATTGCATTTGGAATATCTGATGCGATTGTGGAACAATTGGGGACCACTGGTGTGTAACGCGCAAGGAGCGCGTGTATACCTGCTGAGCTGGAGAGGAAAATCGCGCAAAGAAGGAAAGGAACCTTATAAAAAGGGAAAGAGGAGTGAGTCAAAGCGTCCCTTCTTCCCATTCCTGATTCTGATTTATCGTTTTTTCAGTTCTTGCTTTCTGCACCATTTTTATTTTCTTTTAATTTTTATTTTGTAATGAGATTCTGGTTCATCTGATGAACTTGATACATGCATTTACAGCACTGAAATTGTTGGTTGTTAGGCTAGTGCTGTAAATTATTTTCTAGCATTTCTTGTTTGTAATTTCTTTATTTCTGTTACTGTGTGTAAGCCTCACCCATATGGATAGTGGCTAACTTTTTAGAGGTTGGGTTTTGGTGATACCCAAACCTCAGTGCTTGTTAGATCTTTGATTTTCTGGTTTTAATTGTTATATCTCAGTTGTTTAATGCTGTTTCTAATGTTTAAAATTATCTGCATTTTGGCCAAATGTCAGATGTTTGGTTAGGATTTAGTTGTTGAGAAACAATTAATTCTGGATTCTGCATTAGACACATGGACTTAGATGAGAAATCATCTAAGGGATCTCAATTCAGAAATGAATGAGTACTCATGTAATATTGGACCTGAATCTCAAGAGTCCTAATCCCACTTGGCATAGAGATATGGAAGTGGGCAACTTTGGGATAAAATAATTTTTAAGAGATTAAAAATTAACAATACAGCCCTGTTAACTGAGAATCTTAGAATGAGCTTTTTGTTAATCAAATTATTTTTCAAGCACTGTGGGGAAGGAGAACCAGAACTCAACCCACCTTTTTAAACATCTTTATCAATTCAGATTTTCCAATTTCCTTTGTTATTTCATAGTTCAATCTGTATTCTGTTTTCAAAATTTTTGTCACATCTGTCATTTAAGTTGCTTAATTCTTCATTCTTATTTTATAACTTAGGAAAGTAATTCAGAAAATTTTAAAAGAAAAGTGAACAGTAGTGTTTTAGGTCCATTCTAAATTATTTTTACTTTACAATTTTATTTCTTTTATTTTCAAATAGTAACTCAATTTTAAGCAATTACAAATTTTAGTCATTTCAAAACGCCAACGATCCTTGTGGGAACGATAACTGGGACTTATAACAGCCCTATATTACTTGTTGTCGCGTATACTTGCGCGCATTACTTGCACAACTGTTAGCAAGGCAACAAGTTTTTGGCGCCGTTGCCGGGGATCGAGGCGTATATGATCAAGTTTCTGTGTGATTGCTATTTTTGAACTGCTTCTTTTTGCTGTTTTTAGTGTAGCTCATTTGAATTCTGTGTCAGTTTTGTTTAGTTATTAGTTCTATAGTATCTTGAATATTGGTAGTTTAAAATCTGTTCTGTTCATATTCTGTTTATTTTATGTCATTTAATTTTTCTTAGTTTCATTTTTATTTTAATTATTAGTTCCACCCTGTGTGAGGGTGAGTTATTACTGCCTTATAAAGCCGTCAGGCTGTGAACTGTCTTGGGATTTTTCTGCTTGCAGGTTCTTGTGTGTTTATTTATTGCTTGTTCTGCATAAAAGTTGGTTAGTAATTTAGGTGTTTTAGCTAAGCCAGGTTTACCTGTTTTAGTTAAAAGGGGTGCATGAGTGCAACTCCACACCCGTTCATATATTCAATTGACCCGGAACCTGAAAGGACATTTAGAGTTAGGAGAAGAGCCCAGATAGCACATAGGCAAATTCCACTTCTAGAAATTGAAGAAATGGAGGATTTAGGAAGTGTAAACGGGAATGATGGGGTAGGAGGACCTGCAAGGATAAGGGAACCACCTGTTATAAATGATAATGATAGGTCCATGATGGACTTCATCATACCTGTGTTGGATGAGTTAGATCCAAGCATAGCCCAACCTGTGAATGGAGTGCCCTTCAAATTAGAACCGGTGATGTTCACCATGCTTCAAAACATGGGGCAGTTTCATGGGTTGTTGATGGAAGACCCACACAAGCATCTTAGAAATTTCATAGAAGTGGCCAACACTTTTAGGAATCCTAACATCTCGGATGATGTGTTAAGATTGAAGCTCTTCCCTCATTCACTGGCTGACAAAGCCAAAGAATGGTTGAACTCCCTTCCATCCAACTCTATAACCAATTGGC